CAAAAACAAGTAAGTTATTCACTTGTGACCAGCAGCATGGCCGGATCGAGCTACCGTTATGTGATCATTTGCTACTAAGCAGTGCATTCGTGTTTTTATTTGAAACTTCTTTTAGAATATACTTTTCGTTACCAAGAAAATTAAAAAAAATAAATGCATATTACATTAAAAATACTGAGTATTTTTTGTATCATGTAGAATTTTTTTTTGATTGACTGTAATTTTTCAACATTTCGTAACGCCCTATTTTAGAACCAAAATAAGGCCTTTCATTCTTCCCCGACGCCTATTCAAGAGATTGTACGGTGTATTGTTTGTTTTGTGCATGTGTTGTGGACAAAAAATGACCACGCCCATTTAGTGATTGCAATATGTACGTAATAGAAACCGCACCCTGAACTTGAGCTTTTGATCCCAATTTTTAAATTGATACATTGTAATATAAACCGCGGTTTATAATAGGACTTTAACGGTATGTGCTTCCTGGAAACGCCGAGCACCGTATTATTCTCTGTGTGTTCTGTTTCTACTGGTTAGCCTCGCTTGATTTGAGCGATACTTACCCGCACATACTGATACACCTAGTGAGTCAGCGACTCCCTCGATTCGCCCAGCTGGGCCAAGTAGTCAAGTGCAGGGTGCTCCCCTTTGGGTTTTGCATGAAACAGTCAAGCAGACGCCCTCTCGTGCCGGCTCCGCCTCCAGAACGCGGAGTGGCGGATACCTAAATGGGTATATTCGGCGGTGGGATGGTCCAAGGTTAGATCTATTCACCACACCCCGGAACACCAAGCTCCCGACGTACACGACACTCCTGTCGACTCCAGGAGCTTGGGCCAGGGACACTTTTCCTCATTTCCAGCTATTCACCAGGTACTGGAGAAACTTCGACAGGAGAGCATCGGCACTTTGGTGCAGGTGGCGTCCAACGGGCCAAGCAAGGTCTGGTTTCCACTACTGTTGGAAATGTTAGTCGAAACACCACGGGTGCTTCCGGACTTCCGGATTTGCTGTCCCAACCGACGGCGCACTGCCTTTGA